CCCCTCACCCTCCCTCTGTGCTGGTTTCTCTGGTTCACTGTTTTTACCTTCCTCCACGCAATGGCCGCACTGCTTGTTGTAGCCACAGACATGGTTGCTTTGTTTTGCTTTGTTCTGCTTTGTTTTGCTTTGCATAGCGTTTCCTTAATGCTTTGGCCTGGTTAGCTTTCCTGTGCCTTGCTTTGAATGTCCAAGAGCATGTGTTTGTCCGAGCTGACAAATCTGTGAAACTAAAGAATACACTGGTAAGATTAGTGCCACAATTGGGCTTGATTATCCATCTTTCTGGAAAACTAATTCTATATATTGTTTGCAACGATGAAAGAAGTTTGAAACCTTACCTGCTCTGAAATTTGGACTTTAAAACTCCCCCCAATGAGCGACATATTGGTAGTGCCATAGCTCTCTGTATGTGGGAACGAACTGTGCGTTGTGCAAGCTCTTTTTTCCCACTTTCTTTCCTTCCATCGTTTGCTCTGCACTCATTTAAAACTTTGGATTGTTTTGTTTTTTTAACATCTTAAACAAAATTTTTTTGGCCTGAAAGTTCTCCATCATTTGCCAGCTGTTGCCGTGTGCGGAGCCGAAAGTTGGGAACATTTCTCTGTGTAGTTTCTTCCTTTGTCGTGTAGGATGCATGTGCTCAAGAAATATTTGGTCGAAATTCCTATTCTAAATGTTGAGAAAAAAACAGACGGGCATTATGTAGGTACAATTTGTTCTAAGAAAGAAACAGTTTTTTCTGTCTATTGAACTATTTGGTTGTTTGGGCTCAGCTCATTTCCCAGCTGGCTTATGATACACTCTCTAACTTGTAACACTGTTGGGCTGTGGACATTGTTGGCTTTGCTAGTGAGTGTTCCAAGCTTCGAACTTTGTTGTTTGTATTTCTGGCACAGTCAAGCTTGTTTACACCTGCATTTTGTTGAGAGTTTGTGAACGTTACGCCGACCTCCACTGTTTGTGGATGCTTTGGCAGACCTGCCCAGTGCTTGAAGGAAATCGCAACTCAAAGATTTTTTACTCCGATCGAAGATGTACTTAAAATATGAATTTTTTTCTGGAAACCTTTTTCCTTTTGGTCATATGCCACTTATTGTAAATGAAGGGAAAATACACATTTGAGTATACTGTTATAGTATACTGTTATAGTGTACTGCTATAGTATATTGCTATTGTATACTGTTATAGTGTACTGTTATAGTGTACTGTTATAGTGTACTGTTATAGTGTACTGTTATAGTATACTGCTATAGTATACTGCTATAGTGTACTGTTATAGTGTACTGTTATAGTATACTGTTATAGTATACTGCTATTGTATACTGTTATAGTATACTGTTATAGTATACTGTTATAGTGTACTGTTATAGTATATTGCTATTTCTCTGTTCACCTCTCCTATAGTATTCTATCTCTCTGTTCACCTCTCCTATAGTATTCTATTTCTCTGTTCACCTCTCCTATAGTATTCTATTTCTCTGTTCACCTCTCCTATAGTATTCTATTTCTCTGTTCACCTCTC